ATGCACAGACTCATGGTGGAATAAAAACATTTAAAAGTAAATCAAGTCATTGATTCTATCACAGGTTTTATGGGTCTTTGTGCATTTGTATCACAAGTAACAATGCAGCATGAGGTAAGCCAAATGTAAAAATGTCACTGGGCTTGGGATGTCTTTCAGCTTTTTATTCATTCAAATTACAGGGCCCAATTCATTTTTGCTGTCCTATCCCATTTTCCCCTGAAGCTGAGCTTGCAGCTTTCCATCTGTGTTGAAAAGAGATCTTCCAGGTACTTTGTTTCTATCAGGTGACAATGCTCAGTCCACGAACTCTCCAGTGTAATTGACATCCCCACAAAGTTAAAAAGGCCAAAATGAACCCAAAGGAACACTAAAGTGTGATGATGTGTGCCATGCAGTCTTTTAGATGCAAACAGACTGATTATGGAAGACAAATTATTGAAAAACTTTCTTCACACAGAAACACAGCACTAGAATTTACCAGAAGACTCAAGATTCCCTGCCTTTTGCATTCACAGGTGAAGGTCCAAGATTTAGTCAAAGAAAACCCCCACTTCTCAGCTTCCCCTGAATTTTACACTTCAGACAGCTGTAACTTTCAGCATTTATAGCAAAAGACAGCTAGATCTCATTCTCAGTCTTGAGTAAAACTGCTCAGTCGATACCTACGGTGTCAAACATAGGTTTAAAGTTCAAGTGATATAACATTCTACTTAAATAACATCTTAGAGAGGACACTGCAGGCTTTCTTGTCATAAGGAATAACAGATAAGGAAAGAAGAGGTGAAGACCTGGATCCGCCTCCATTCCTGGCCTTGCTACAAACTATCTGACCACTGGTAAAATGCTTAAACATTGTACAAAATAGGGATAAATTATTTTACCTCCTAAGGACTGGGAGAAGATAGGCTCTTGCATTCCTTAGGCTTTAAAATATGCCATACTGAAGGAAAATTTTGACCCACAGTAATTGATTGTTCTGTACATACATGTGTATATAGAGAAAAATGCATGCACAAGTGTATTAAGCTAACTTCTGAAATATATGCAATTTACTGGTTTTCAAATACCTTTGTGTTTTTAGAAAGAAACTCCTTTTTTTTGTTTTGTTTTGGTTTTTGGTTTTTTGTAGGTCAAAATTCTCTCATTTCTCTTGTTTATAACCAGAGAAATGGAACATGAATGTCACAGTAGGCATACATAACAATTGATACTTAGGCTTTAAGGTACAGCCATGCTTTTTTACACCCCCTATGTGATGTGTTTGTCTGTTACATGATGACCTGTAGCATCCACAAGAGCTGAAGCCAGAATAGTAAGTCTAAACATAAAGAACATTTATAATTGAATGTGGTGAAGTTATTGTGCCAAACAACATTATTTTTTCAAAATTTGTTGCACGATTTTAATGACTACACATCCCAATAATCTCAGTTTCTGTATCTTATCAGTTTTAAAACAATGGCTGCTCCAAAACCAAACTTCATTTCCTGCTCTTCTGGTTTCAGTGCTAAGCCAGAGGGAAGACTGCCACCTAATGATCTGTAGGTGAGTGCAGGTTACAGCTGGTAACATTTGGTTCCAAGTTTTTGCATCCTTCACTGCTGGTGGCCTTAATAGACATCCAGGGGTGGACAGTCACTTTTATGGTTGGTTGCATTTGCAAACGCAACTGTGGAGCTGCTTGAATTAAAAAACGGAATGGGGAACAGTGAGCAGCTTTCCATTTGGCTTTCTAACAATAAACAAGCTTGAAAGCATCTCAACCTGCCTTTGAAAGGTTTTTGAGTGCAGCAGTGAGGCAAAGTCATCATGGGGAAAAAAAAGAAAATCCTGAAGTATCCTAGTTTGCTTTGCTAAATTCATGGAGTTAGGCAAGAAAATTATGACAGAAAGGAAGAGCAAATGAATTAGGAAAATATTACAATCTAATTGTAGGTTTACAGAGAAAACTTCTCCCATCACAAACCTGAGAATTACTTGGTGGAATGAAAAGATAAATACTTTCATGGTATATTTGAAAAATTGCATGTAAATTGCAAAGTTGTATTCAGTAGGAGTCTTATTTCAACGTATTGAGACATTGCAGGGGGTGTCAGTCACATTAATACATGCCTCCGGTGGTTGAACGTTCAAGCATCCCTTGTCTCCCATTGCACCAGAGGAACGTGTTAATGAGTCCACAGAACATAATCCTGCCATATTTTAATGCTATGTTAATTTGAATGGCTGAGGAACAAATCCTGGGGCTAGGAAGATCCATAGCATGGAGCCAAATGAAGCCATGCATTTGTCTTCATCCTCTGGTCACACAGACCTGGTTCTTGTGATGAGAAATTTCCAAAGACACCTTGAGGGAGGGGGAGTTTCTGTGTAGCTGCCTTACTCTCAGCTCTGCTGTCCTCAGGGATCAGTGATAATAAGACTGCTCTACTGAGGATTATTTGGGGGTGGATTGAGCATGAATTTTTGGCAACCCTGCTGCTTCACAGAAAAGTTGAAAGATTTTTTATATCTCCTCTTTGTTGTGTGTTCTTAGCTAACAATTCCAAGGGAAAAATGAGGAAAAAAGTATTAAAAGGCCTTTGCTGCTCAGCAGTTCAAATACAGCCTTTTAACAAATGTTACAACTCCACTTTTCAAAATGTAGTTTATTTTAAATATCGCAAGAATGAGAAGACCCATTCTGGCTTTAGCCTTCCCCCAGATCTAGGGCAGGCATGACTGCTTAACTGGGCCAAGAATATCCTAAGTTACCCTGTGTGCTGGCTAAAGAGTGATAAGGATTTGGCTGAATCCTTCTCTTGTAAGCAGAGATTGCCTACTCAGAGCTTACCTGACATGGGGAATACTTGGTTCTACATTGGTGACATCAAATTCTTTCATTATTTTGGGGGTACATATAAGGATACTGGTGTCATCGCCCAGCCCTCCTCCTATTCAGAAGCTCCCAAGGGAGTTGTAAACAAATTGAGTGAAACATAAGAGGTCTCTGAACAAATTTCAGCTCCATTTTAAAAAACAAAGAGCCAAACATGGGAGTTTCTGAACAGCACACAGTAATTGTGAAAAAATACCAAAGCAGGAGAGGTGCAAATCATATGATATGTCCTTAAGGATATGAAAATTTCAGCATTCTCAGGACTCCCAAAGTCAGCTGGAAATTTAGATATCATAGCAATTTGAAGGTTCAGCAGCCTGAGAAGGGAATGGACACAAATATATCTACTCTAAATATAATTAATGAGGAAGACCAAATTGCAAAACTGTGGTCACTTTGTCTCAGTTGTCATGTCCTTTCTTCATTCAACAAGTTGGAAAAAGACCTTACAAACCATTTTCTGAAATAGACCTTGTACTTTTTTCAACATGATTCCTGTTAACTTTCTTTATGACCAGGTGCTCTAAGAAATAATTGATAGACATTGCAAGCAGATGACCTGTACCCTCACCATAACCCTGTCTCATTGTCCTGTTTCACCTCTAATTTTGTATCAGCTTCTCCCACAAAAAAAAAAAAAAAAAAGTGCAGGTCCTCCTAAAAGTGTCCTTTCTACCACTAATTGGTGAAAAATCAGATTGGATTAATATGGAAAAAAAAAAAAAAAAAAAGTGCAGGTCCTCCTAAAAGTGTCCTTTCTACCACTAATTGGTGAAAAATCAGATTGGATTAATATGGAGAAAGAATGTTTGTGTGTATGTGTGTGTGTGTTTGTTTGTTCAGAGTCCTAACTGTAAGGAGGAAGTTCTAATTTATATAAATTTCAAATGTGAACTGGAAATTTCCTTAATTTCTTTCTGTCTTTCTAAACCCCTTCTCCTGGTAATGAGCACATATCTTTTCCAAAAAGTCATTGTTTCTCTGCTGTCTCCAGTATAACTGAAGTGCCTCTCTCTATGTTAGGCTAAACTTGCTTCATTTACAGTCAAATTATAATTAACCAACCTTTAAAAAAAATCAATTAATGATCAAATAGTTGTAACCACATAAAAATAGAAGTGTATTTGTAAGAGAAAAGGACATTGATTACAATTCAAAGATATCTTAAGCACTTTCAACCACTGCTTGACAAAACAAATGAGCTACAACCTTAGCTCTGATGTTTTTTTGCTTCAGTGTCCATTAAATTGGAATTTTATTGGCAGACTATAGCTTAGTTAAGAATTTATTCATGCTATGTCATGCTGTCCTTTTGGCAAGGAGAGAAATTTGGGGAAAGATTTTTAATTAAGTTTGGGGATTTTTTTCCTTTTGGGTTTAATGGACAAAGGTGACATTCCCCCTAAAACTGAGTTCTTTTCTCTGATATTTACCTGTAAAAAAACCCAAAAGTATGGCAGCAGGGAAAAATTACAGGTACAAGTGTCAAAATCAATAACCTCAAGCAATAAAACTGCTTCAAAGATTGCTGCTTTTTTCACAATTAAACAGTAGCCATATATGCCTTTAGATGCCATCTTATGGAAGTATAATCTCCTGTATCATTACTTGTTTATGTGGGTAGATTTTTATAAGCCAGTGACACCCTTACTGCCGATAACATCAAGCAGTGTTAATCTTTGAGGCTAAATAAATGTTATGAGTGCAAGCCAAAGTCCAGTCTGGAAAAGAGGGAAAAGTGATTTGATAAATATTCCATATTTTTGAAACTTTCCAAATTTGTTCTCTTGAGCAATTGAAAACTGCAGCACCTTGCCAATTAAAAGAGAGAAAGAAATTTAATCTGGTTATGAATTATTAAAAAAAAACCTAGCTAAAGTGGCATAACCCTGGGGAAAAGTAATACTTTTTGGGGGTTTTTTTTTTATTATGTCCTGGGAAGCAAGCATAAGAGATGCATAAGTTTTTCTCCAGTTCTGGGTCTATTTTCTATCCTCTCTGACTAAAAATCACTCATAAAAGTTAAAATAACTTAAGTTGCAAATTTAGAGGAAATGAGTTGAAGTCTCCAAGGAATAATCCCATGCAAAACCAGAAAAATGTAATATTTAATACCTACTTTCTGATGTAAACCATCCATCATGTGCTTTATCATCCTTGGCCGCAGGTAACCTGAAGAAACCAGTGAAGCTATATCAAACAACTTGTTCTTGAAAAGAGAGGGACTTCACTTGTTTCTCTCCATTTGGAGATGCAGTATTCACTGAAAAAGAAAAGTGACATCGTTTACCTGAGTTTTACTGATGATCACTGACAGAGCACAATAGATGCTGGAGCACATTTCAACAGTGACTTTCCTTAGAAACTTTATCATAACCTTCATCTAATTCTCATTTTTAAAGAAATAAATAGGTTCCTTCTATAAGGCTTTGATCACCAAGTCAGATGCAAGCAGAATGTACAAGAAGGGATTTATTTGTGGGTTACAAAGAAGTGCCTTTAGGTTTATTTTTAGAGCTGATGGCTATTAGTCACAATTCCATAATTGCTCTTCAGGTGTTTAGAGATTTCAGGACATTAGCACTGAGTTCTTATTTTGAAAGGGTCATTGAGTGTATGTATAAGTACTCTATTATGAAGCATCACAAAAACCCAGCAAAAATAGGGTTTTCTTTTTCTATGTTCCTAGGTATGTAAAAATCTATTCCTGCAATTGAGTAGGATTTTCCAGCAACCCCTTGGAATCCTTGTATTGCATTCATAGCAACAAAGAGTAATTTTTTTTAATATTCTGCAGAAATTTTACTAAAATTTTACTTGCAAACACTATTGTAACCATTGAAAAATCACTTTTTTTGTGCAATGTTGTACTTTCTAAATTTAGAAACTCACTTCTGCTTATTATTTTATATCCTCTTTACATATTAATGACAGGAATAACCTCATGCAGACTTAGGCATCTGTCATATACCTTCTATTTCCAAGCTTTTAATCCACTTTCCTGTCTAGTTGAGAGAATGAAATAGATCCTTCAAAGGTGAGAATCACTTAAGATGTCTACACTAGAATGAGCTGAATCATTCTAATGCAGTTTCTGTTTCTCCCTCGTGCCTATAAAGGTACTCTGGAGCTCAGGATGATGATTATACTCTGATGATGATGATGAGAGCCTAAAGTTATGGAAGATTATTTCTGCCCTAATTACCAGAGTTAGCATCACAAATTGCAGTGGCAGAAAATTTGTTTTAATATGTTACAATACGTTGCAAAGTTGTCTTGGCATTGATTCAGACAAATCTTTGAAACACAATATAAGTATTCAATTTGTGATCCTCTGACAGAGATCAATGTTTTCACAGTCAATAATGATAGACAGACCTCTATTCATATATATATATGTATATGTATATGTATGTATGTATGTATATGCGCCCTTGTGGAAACACCTGAAACTGTTTCCATAATTGATGATATCACTAAATCAGGTTTTGATTTGTATAGAAGTTAAAGTTTGGCTTGGTTAGGTGTTTGGTTTTCAGGAGGTTTTCAGCTTTTTTTTCCAGTCTTTATCTGGGAATTTTACTATAAGTATTTCCATTTAAAACAATCTATATCTATTTAAAAAATCTAAATCTATTTAAAAAAATGTGTGCGATATAGTGCAAAACTAGTGACCAGAGATAGTAAAATTATTGCAAATTTACAGAGTATTCATTGACCCATTAATTCCAAACCCCTGTCTCCTGAGAAAATACATTGCTTATTAACATCTTGTAACACCAAACCCTAATAATACATGCAGTTACAAAAGAGGAGTACATTTTTTCATATGTGATTTATGCACTTTTTTTTTTTTTAATGGGGTATTGCTAGTAAGTGTTTTCAGCCTGGTTTGGAATTTTAGTTGTCCATATAATACATTGAGGCAGAAAACACAACAGCAAATAATTCAAACACATTCTGCTTTTGAACACTAATATTTGAATTTGTCCTTCTACCTGTCAGGTATTCTGTTCAGAACTGAAAATGTGAATTTTCAAATAAACTTGATCTAACTTATGATTTTGCTTGGTTTTCCTCTGTACTTTCCCTATCTTCATAACATGGTTGGCAACAAAGATTTTAATTTCCTAATTATCCTAATAGATTAGTGTTGAATTAACATTATCAGCCTCTTTTGCAATTTTTGCCTTTTGCTCAGCCTGGGTGTGATCAGATTAAGATGTGATAGCAGTGACAGTACCATGGCACACTGATCTTTGCATGGAAGCAGATGAAGGTGAGGTTGGGCAGTTATCATTTCTTCTAGAGCAAATTTGTGCTTCTAAGTAGAATACTTAATTTTGAATTTTATTCCTCAGAAGATGAGAGGTCCAGATTCAATGCATTTCCACAAATCCATGCTACCACACAGTCACTATCAGCAGCAAACCTGGATTTCTGAGGCTCTAACATGGCAAAGCAGGAAGCAAGTTTACAGCCACTTTATAGTACCCACAAGTCTGATGTTCCTGGCAACTGCCTACCAGCTAACAATTTTGTTTGAGATGTCCTAGCAATTTTGCATCCTCAGCAGTCATATTTATTTTCTGTAACTGCACATGGGCAAATTTAAACAACCTTTTCTTTTTAGTGGTGAAATAACAGTATACACACAGATATACATCAGGGTAACAAACCTGCTTTGATTCAAGCATCTCAATAAATCACAGTGAATTCAAGACCCACTGAATTTCAAGGAAGCCTTCCAGGAATGCCTTTAAAAATTCTAATAAAACTGTTCTGCATACTACTTGCTGTTAAATATTCAACAATAATAAAATGTGCTCTACCTTTATGAAGAGTTACAGAAGTATTAACTAACTAAACCTCATGACTTCTATATATAATTCAGATAAATGTATAATTTAATTTTACTCCTTAGTCAAATTAGCTACAATAGTGAACAAGCCTTTTACTAAAAAGTGAAGGATATGAGAAAGGACCTTGGCTTCCTTGATTTTCTTCACTGATCCCAGAGAAATCACAATTTCCCTCCAGCTGTACAATAAAGAGGGAAAAACTGAAAAGCTTCTTATGCACTGGTCTTAAAAAGTCATTATACAGAAGGACAACAAAGCCAGTACTACCTCAGATACAACATAAAATTTAGATTTTTTTTTTTAATCTCAAGGCAAAATTTTGTTTTCAGTATATTGCATACTTCACAGTATGACAACACATTTAGGTCCATGCTATACACACATTGATATCTGCCACTGTAGGCTGTTCTACATGGTGAAAAAGTATTTTCTGGGAGAATACACACTGTTCTAAGCATCAGCAGCAGCTGATTCTTTGAAAGGAACTTCCATCGAAACCAATGGCTTGATGGCTGGAGAGTGACATTTTCCCCAACGCATGTGTGGAAGCAAGAATTTAAGCTGACCTCCTGTATCTATGTCTTAGGTTGCAAATGCAAGATGTGGATGGGGGTGTGAATTCTATTCCAATCTGTTAGAAGTGAGGCAATTTTCTACTGCTAATTGAGCCACCCGTAAAAACCAGGTAGGGAGGTTTTCTTCATCTCTTCCACAAGCAATCCTCCCTCTGAGAAATATTTTTTGTTAATGGACCATTGACTGTCACTGTCACATAAAATTACATCATCCCACTGTGAGATGCTTCACCCAGAGGGAGGAGCCAAGCATTCCTACCTGGATATAATCTGAGGTTTGGAACACCACAGGCAGCCTTTTCCCACTGGATTCCCAGAGAAGCAGCTTTCTTCTCCACGGGATTCCCAGAGGAAGAACAGGCCTATCTACACCACCACCAGACCTTCAAAGAAAAACTCCACCCTTCTACAGGATCGCTGCTCCAACAGAGCCACACCTGTCACTGCAGGAGGGCTGCAGCCACCATTTAATGGGACTGCTGCCAACACCCTGACCAACAGGGTGTCAGGTCATATTCTGACTCTGTCAGTCTTTTATATTACTGCATCTTTATTTTTATTTTTCCTAATAAAGAACTATTCCTACTCCCATATCTTTGCCTGAGAGCCCTTTAATTCAAAATTTCAAAATTATAATAATTTGGAGGGAGGGGTTTTACATTTTCCTGCCTTCCTTAGGGGACACCTGTCTTTTCAAACCAAGACAGTCTATTATTAAAAGTGTGGTTTTTTTGATTTTTAAAGTTTGGCAAACTTCTATTTTCAAACATAATATGTTTGCTTATTTTTGTTTTGTTTTGAAAAACAGGATTTCCTGCGAGTACTGACATCCAACACAGAACTATGTTATATTATGAATACACTTAAATGACATATAAGTAAAATACCTGAATATTTAATTATACTGTATGCCCTGGAGAGTGGGTGTGAATTGTGAGTACTCAAGGACCTCCTGCATTTGCAATCAGCCTAAATTACTCAGAGAAGCATCCTCAAACCTTGATATAGTCTAGTTACATGGACTAAAGGGTCGCAAAAAGTGGGGGAGAGCGTTGAGCCCTTCCCTTGGCAACTATATTTCACAGGGCTGTGTCACCACCACTGATTGTGAATCCTGTTTGTTCCAGTTTTGTGATATAAAAAGAGTGCAGGAGCGTGTCAACAGGACAGATTTTACACACTGGAAATGAGAGAGCGAGAGCGCGACAGAGAGAGATCTTTCATCTTGTCAATGCCTCTTCATCAACATTCAGATCACATTGCCTTCATTTCAGACCTTGCCACTATCCTCTGCCTTCATTCTTTTTCTTATTCGGATTCCTCTCTCCTCATGGCTGAAAACAAAACTTTCTCCTTTGCTTTGACAGTTGTCTCTCTTCCTTCACAAAATGCTATACCGTCAATGTTGCTGTCATAAGGAACAGCTTGTTGTCCCATTAGAAGAAAGAATCCTGGTCTTAGGAAAAAAATGGCATTTTAAGATCAAGCAAGGCAAAACTACGCATTGAAATGGAAGTTACATTTGTTCCAGGTCTCTTGAAAAAAGTAATACAAGAGTGTTCTTTTAAATCTTAGTAATTGCCGATCCTTCATTTTTCATTGTCTGCAGCTTGCTGTCTGTGCTGTCACAGACCTTCTGTAACAATCATGCTAACATTGTAGTGTTTATTTTTGCTGTTTACTTCAAGAGATTATTTAAGGTAAAAAAATAAAGCCAGAAGATGAAAATGTTGGATGTGGGAAATATGAATTTTACACTATGGATAAGAAAAGTTAGAGTTGTTTACAGATCCACATCAGGAAAGGCTGCCACTCTTACTGAGCTGTGTGAGACCTCAAATCTGTTTGTGCTGTAAAGTTTTCCTGTAGCTACACAGCATTTCAGGAGGGTACAATACTCTCCTACCAAGGCTCTCTTCTTCTTGTACAGACTTGAAGAAAGGTTCAGAGAGAAACAGAACCCCCACACAGCCATAATAAAGCCTATTTCCTTTAACCCCTTTGCTGCCAATAATACAAAGGTCCTGCCATGCTGCCATCACCCACAAACACATTTTTAGTCTCTCCAGATTTCAGGGTATGTTAGGAAGGTTTCTGTCCTATGAACATATTTTTTAACCCTCCTCAAATACTAGAAGCTTTATTAGTAAAGTTGCAGGTTGTCGGCCCTGAAT